GGATCAAAGGTCATCCGATGCTACAATAGACGAATTTCACATTCTGAAGAGTTATCCCCCGTTATCAACGTTACATTCAGTTACAAGATCCAGAATTTTTTTTTCTTGGAGGGACGGGGGGGGGGGGGGGGTAGGGGGGGGGGTTCCAGACCAGAATTTTCTGAGAAGCAAGAAAAAAAAAGAAGTTATGGTTTGGTCTGTTTTCTACGGTGGAGGGACACTTAGGGCATCCAAAGTCATTTTTTATTTCCTCCAGTACATATTATAGTCAGGGATTTTCCACCCCATTTTGGGAATGGGGCCCAGGCCCTTTACTATTGGGAATTTTACGACATTTTACAACTTTTTGGGAAATTTTATAGCAAGATGTATTTCAATAAATTAACACTTATGATAGTTAACATTGATTTTTTACTTCATTATTCAGAACTTTATTTCAGAAAATAGATCTATTATTATACAGATTAGCCAAGTCTCCAACAATTATGATAATTTCATTAAGAGTTCAAACCTTACCATGTTTGTTTTACATAAATTTTTCAAAACTTAAACACAGGCTGTTCATTTTTGGGAAAAATGGAGTGATTTTGCAATTGGGAATGGGGCCCATATTCGGCCCTACACGGGGTAGTGGAAAATCCCTGATAGTCCTGCAAATTCCGGGGGAAAGGGAGGGGGGGGGGGTGTTGAGGGGGCGATCTCCCAATCCATTTCCCTGTCCCTGTAATGACAAATGATCATGTGACTCCTAAATAGTAGGAAACTTTTTCCATTTGACTATACATAATATTGTGTTATTATGTTATGTAAATTTAATGGTATAAAGGTTATGAACCCCTAGAGGTCATCCCCACTCTCCTAATGAGCTGGAAATGTTCACAATATGACTGCAGTAAATTAAATAAAAGCGCATCAATGATAAGATTACTTGACATTTTATTCATGAATTTGTGTCAACATATCTTCCTAGAATTAGGAATGAGAATCATTCAGAGATGGACCACATTAAACTATTTGTATACAAATTTTTTTTTTCTAACTTGTCCTCATTATTTTTCAAATGGTGGTGTCTCCATATGAGTGAAAAATTCCTGAGAGGGATGTTTAACAACAAACAAAATGACATAAGAACACAATATTAATTTGCGTTAAGAAATATGCAGGGGATTTTTTCCATCATAAATCTTCTTCTCAAGAACAGCAAGGGCATATTCTTGTCCCCCATTTTGGGGAAAGGGAGGGGACACTAAATCTCATTTGTCTGTCAGTCTGTCCATCTTATTGACAGCTAGTATGTGCATCTGTCACAATAAATTTAACCTTGGTCATAACTTTTGAATGATAAGAGATAGTGCTTTCATATTTCACATGCACATTACCACAGAACTTTCTAAATATACTATGATTTTTTAACCCAAGTTAGACCTTGACCTTAAAGTTTTACCTACTTTCCAAAAAATAACATTTTAAATTGATCTTTTTGAAAGAGAAAAGAAAGGGCATTCAAATTATACATGTTTATTACATGTGAAAAGACTTTTCTAACTATATCATGACTTTTGACTCTGTGACCTTGACCTAGAAGGTTTAACCTACTTTTCAAAAATATTATATTGTATATATAACTTTTGATTCAAAAGAGATAGGACTTTCATATTTGACATGTATATTACCTGCAACAAAATGTTTCAGAACATGCTATGATTTTTCCCCTTTGACCCAATTTTCAAAAATTGATATATGATAGGGGTGCATATTTGACACACAATCTGCCATAAATTATGGTATCTCATTCACTAAAACACAGAAAGCAGAGGACCACAATTCTTTGAATTTGCTTGTATAATCTTGATGGATGGAAACATGCTCATATAATGTAGATTCAAGTTTTTTATGCCACACCATGATTAGGAATACATGT